AGTGGATGGTTCAAATATTCTAAAGACAGCCTTTTTTTTTTTTTGTACAAAAACTTTCTTAGCTAATAGGCACCAATATATATAATACCTACAAGATAATTACTAAAATTAAACCCCCTTATAAGAGGCATGCTCTCGCCAGCAATTCTTGTCGCTTATACGAGATCTCTGTTACACACAGAGCACCACTAGGGCATTTCCTTATGAACCCGCATTTTACTGTAGGCACACTGGTGTCTCTCATACCCATTTGTCTCTTATATCATCGTCTCTTATAAAAGGGTTCAACTGTATTACATTCAACAAAATTCCTTAACGTACCATTAACCTTAATTACTGTCTCTAGGAGCAAGTCAACAAGCACTCAGAACCTACCCTCTTGCAAGCTTTGCATATCACAAGTTTCTACAAATATTGACACAAAATGTACTATACAATACATTGCTCTTCCAGCAAGCACCTTCTGCATTACACTTTCTCCACTATAGAAACAAATAGAATTACAGTGCATTTTTCTCTCCATTATACTAGTATCATAATTATTCCCAGCAACTTTTTTATTCATAGTACAACTCCTTCAAAAGGGACCCCACAACATTTTTCCAAGTAATAATAGAGTAATCACACAATTGCATTTTACTGCCTCGCAAATCTCTTGCAACGAAACTGTAACAAAGCAGTGTTACGGTTAGTTATTGCATAAATGACAAGTGTGCTAAAAGCTATGCAAAGGGGAGATGGCATACGGCAAGAAATTACACTAACACATATCATAGCCCTGAAAGTTTCACCTTTTTTTTTTTCTGGCTGCCGATTCAAATTCACATGAGCATGGTGCCTGAACATGGCACCACCCCAACGAGGCCATGGCACCTTAAAAACTATAACATACTATCAAGGCACCATATGCACGGCACAGCAGCAACATAAAACTGCTGCGCAAAAGTACGGTCGAGCTACATGAATACTTGATTTGTATTGGCATTGCCTAGCATTAGGCTGACTATACTATCATATTCAAGTTTCACATTTGAAAGTGGTTCTAATTAGTAAAGGGGGGATGTGCCTTTAGGAACCAACTTTCTTGTTTTTGATTGGATCTTGATGAAAGTTGGAACACTGTGAATTGCCTCAAAGTGCTTCCATGAAAATTTCGATGCGATACCACAAAAACTTGATGAGAGACAAATTATTTTTTCATTAAACCTCCTGGAGAAGCTGCAGGTTTTATAAGATGACATAAATAGTTGGTAATTTCGGCACACGCTGCCAAACGTATGCTGAAGTTTGATAAAGCAGCCGAACATATGCTACGTTATCAAAATAATTTTTTTGCAACACTAAATCTTGTAGTTAAGTTTTCCCCAGTAACGCTGAAATCAACAGACTTACATTACAAACAAGAAGCCCGACAAAAAAATTTTTGCAGTAAAATAAAAAAATAAGATTGCAGCCCCCTGAAGCCCAGTTCAAGAAGCATTAAAAAACAAACCGAATCAAAATCTCTGAAGTGGTTGCCAAGATATCTGCTCCATGAGCTGAACATGACAAAAAACATGTATTGTGAAAACTGTGTTTAAAATTTCACCTTCTGTTTACGTCTCTAGAACACATAAAAATTTTGATATTTGGTTTGTCTTGAGATATTTGACTTCTTGGACATGTGGCCTCTGCCCAGTGTGCCTCTGCTGTTGCCTGTTTTTTTTTTCATAACCTCCTGTTTTGATCTACAAAGAACAAGTATGGATTTCAAACGAAATTCCCTGTATGAAGAAGTGGTATCATAGGCATGACAAAAAAGAGTGTAATTGAATAAGGCCATATAGTGAAACGATTACATATCTTCCTTGTGTTCAAGCTGTCATTCATGTAATTAAGTATTTCTTGATTATAAATATTCACTGAATAATTTTCATCACATGGCAAAGTTCATTGCATCAGAAAATGGCTTACACCTTATGACAGTCTATGCCTTTTTTCCAAATACGTTTATTAGCAGGAAACTGGTGGCACAGAAATTTTGTCACAGTTTATTTATTGACGCGACTCGGACAGATAAAAATTCGTAGCCCTGCTTCATACATGTTCTTTTGCCACTCTATCCGTGAAACCCATCATCATAAGGCCGGTAGCAGAAACACTAATTTACAAGGCTTTCATTGTTTCAGAACACTCATAGATGCTCGCGGCATTACCAAACACGACTCCAAGCACATTTAAATCGCATCACTAGAACTTATTGACAGCACTCCATATGACCGTAAAGTGTGCGGCCGCAGAGATGGTGCGGCTGGCACGTGGTGCACTTGGCAGCATTGTTCAGTGACGATGCACGAAACGTATAGCTACTGACGAAAAATCGGCGCATATTGCGCTTGGTGTCGTATTTTCGAGTGCCAAAGCACGACACTGCTATTATAGCTGCTGTTCAGAGCAATCCTTGGCAGTGAGGGTGGGGCGGGGGTCTGACGAGCTCGACTGTGGGGTCTGCTGCTGATGCGCAGGTGGCCCGTAGGCGGTTACGAGGAGGCAGTGAATTATGTGCTTCATTGCTTGCGAAGACCCCTAGATCACAACAAATTCTCTAGATTTTATTTCTAATGTGATTATTCAGGCTAGTTGACTCTTAACAGATAGTGCGCTCTGTGGCTAAGTTCTTCAAAATCTTTTTAAAAGTGAAAATGACTATTAACCCTCTTTCAAGGTCTTTTTTCTACACGAACTGAGGAGTTACATATAAAGCGCTTGCAAATGGCATTGTGTCAACGAGACAGATCTGCATGTTAAATTCACTTTGAAGATGCATCGAACACATTCGGGTCAACTGCAAGTCTGTAGCGCCTTCCTTGTACTTGTAGCTTGACAGCTCGTGGTCTAGTCATAATTTACCACAGTTGCAATCACAGTTGTAACATTTTCATTGAACATAAGTGGGCGCTCTATTACTTGCTGATAGTTACGCCTTTCCTCTGTACTTCGATCAGCTCCCTGTTTGTCACTTTCTTGCTTTCACGACGGAAGGACTGGAACAGCCTTCTTGTCCGTTTTCATCACGCTGTTTCCGCAATACTGAACCCGTACTACCTTACCAAATCTTCAGCCCTACTTTCTCTCTGTTCTATAATATTCCAGGCCATTTCACACGAGACATTGCTTGGTGAAGGCACGCAGTGAGTGTAATCTTGGCAGGTGTTTATGAGCCCTACAATATTTATCTTAATTGTTTCATAGTGCAGCAATCACTCGGGGAGCTCATGCTATGTGCACGCTTAACTCTGACCCCGACAGAGTAATTTTCGCCAGTATTCAAACTATATCATTCTCACATTACAAAACAGCTATTTCCTTCACATGGTCTATCAGAACACGAAGAGTATATTAAATAAAACAGATTTGGGTGCACGTGAAAGAACCCCAGGTGGTCAAAATTTCCGGAGCCCTCCACTACGGCGTCTCTCATAATCATATGGTGGTTTTGGGATGTTAAAACCCACAAATCAATATTAAATAAAAAGAAAATTAGCCTTAATTATCATTGTTTACAGCCTTTCTAGTGGAAAGAGCATGATCACTTACTAAAAGGCTTTTAATCAGGCTGTGTATTGTGACATTCCCAGATAATTAAAAATCCCTAGATTCAAGTAAAAAAAAAAGACGTATCCTTAAAAAATGTTTAAAAATCACTAAGGTTGGCATCGCTGCATCTCCCGGTGCGAGCATCGGGCCACTGGCGAGGCGAGCTGAGGAAATATGGCGGACACGGCCAATTGGAGGCCTACCAACGTTCCTCAACTATTTGCTTTTTGCATTTCTTTATGAATGGAGAAGCCAGCTGATGAGGCAATTTGAACACGAAGAAATGCTCATTCTGATGATACCAAAAAGCTGGCTCCCAACCACGCCATTGCGAAGCTATAATTTTTTGAAAATCGCTGTTTTCTCACAATTTTTAGAATAATTTTTGCCACCTAGGAGAACAAAAATTTTTGAAGTACTTCTGCACGGTTTTCAAATTAGATATTTTGGGATCAGATAGAAAAATAGTTCGAGAAAATGTAAACTTGATTTTCAAAAAATAGATTTTTTTTTGCCATTTTTCACGATCCAAATGTCCCCCCTCCCAAGAGATGCCTGCAAACATCCAGCTTGGGAGGGGCATAGAAGAGAGCTAGCCCCCACTGGCAAGGATATTGATGGTATTGGGGACAGCAATATGCATTGGTAAGTATACTAGTATATCAAGGGCTCAGTTTCAAGCGGCTGATTCAGGCACACAGCGTTTGAAAACGTACATGTGTAGTACACAGGGCGACACCTCACACGGATGTAGGAGAAATTGAAATATTAAGCAGATGACAGTCGGTCGAGACCACAAGTGTGAAGATTTAAGTACTTTTTTCTTGGTTGCAAGGACGAAGGCATACATATGTGGAGTACTCTCTCATTCAACGAAACCTGAAGGGACGAAGAAAATATGTTTCATTTAACAGGAATCCTGTTTTTTGAAAGATGAACAGTGATACAAGTATGAAACCAATTATATCAAAGGCAGTTGTTCCATTTAAGCAGCAGTTCCATTTACCATATTTTCGTTTACTAAGGGTCTACTGGGTTTGACATTTATAGCACTTGCAGTGGTGATCCAGCCACTTCAACTTTTGGAGCAATTTTTGGAGCAGAGAAAATGCTCTTTTGGAGCACCTTTGTATCGGCACTTGATATTGGAGCAGCAATTGTAGCAGCAACTTATTTTACAAAAATACATCTCTCATTATTGCTGAAACTAAAGCTGTGATAGCAACCACAGTTCTATAAAACCGTATTTGTCTCAATTCTCAATTATTAATTAGAGTGTCACGTGCATGCCGATTCTAAAAGCCACCAAGAAATGGACCAGTCCATCAGATTTAATGCACTACTGAAAATGAAGGTAGTGCAGGTGTAGCATTAGTTTATTAAAGTACACTAAAAGCTACGACGAAAATTCCCAGAAACCGAACTGTAAGGAGAGTTTTGAACTTTCATTTATTTACAGAAGAAAGATGTGCATGTTGCAGCATTTACGTCCTCTTGCTCACCTTCTTGCTTAGTTCTTCCAGCTGTGAGAGAGTTTGGCTCAAAGCGGAGTTGCCTTCAGCTAATAAAGTTTGCCCAGCTTCAACTTGTTCCAGGCTCTTAGAACGCAGACCAGAAGAAATTATGTCTTCTGCTCGTTTCAGCAATGCCCTACTTGAGGTGACCTTTTCTTCCAAGTTCTTACGAAGTCGCTTTTCGTCGACATCAGCACCAGTGTCTTGGTCTCCAAGCCTTTTCCTGCTTTCTGACTGCTGTGCACTTGCAGTTCTCTCTGTGTATCGGGCTCTAGATCTCCGTACACTTTGCAGAAGCTCTGTAGACAAGGGAACTTTAGTGGCATCTCCATCATACCTGCGGAGGTATGTCTTTGTCTGGCGCAACCCGTTAATGCTTGCAATGCATAATGAGTAGCGGTTCTCATAAAAGCGCTTATTTTCGCTAAATCCTCGTTCGCAGTCTGCGTTGCCATGTGGCAGGCACAGCAGACACTTGACAAGCCTCGACAATAATGGATACTTTGGTTGACTTCCAGGAGACTTCAGTTCAAATATTTTGCCCCAACGAACATCAATTCTTTCACCTCCAAGTGCCAGGAGGTCACTGTTTGAGTCACACTTTAACATATGCCACTCATCGATGGCTGAGGAAACTTCTTCATGTTTGATTACCTGTGGAAGCTGAGACACAAGGTACTTCAGTGCTCGCACTTCCGATTCAACATTTGTTGATTGCCAATTGAGGAGGCTAGCAGATTGAAGAACTCTATTTTCGAGTGGAAGCTTCTGAAGAAGATCCTTGGCACAGGCCAAGTAAAAAGCACGTGCTCCAAGATGAAACCGCTTCTTCTCACTAAAGTCCCACTCAAGCATTGATTTTTCAGTATCTGTACCAACTTCCGGCCTTGATTTCCAAAGGGATGCATCCATCACATCTAGCCTTTTCAGTTGTTCAGCGCTCTTGTCTGCAAAGGCTTCATGACGAAGAAACCGACTGAGGACTCATTGGACTAGAACAATAAGTTCAACGTGAAGTATGTGCAAGAGCAGCTCTTGCTTTTGGAAGAGCAGCTGAAATCCACTGAAAAGCTGCGCACAGTTCGAACAACACTTTGGCCAAAAGTTGTTTCTCAGAAAATGCCGACACAAGCTTGTTGTGTAGGCTTTGGGTGTCAGGTCGTTGACGAGATGAATTGCCCTTAAAAAAATAGGTGCGAAGCGCTTCAAACTGTTCCTCAACTCGGCAAAGTGAGTGTTGTAGCGTCAGCCAGCGATTAGAAACGTGGCGCAGAAATACATGACAAGAGATTCCCAAAGTATCCTGGCATTCTCTGAGTGCTTCAGAGCGGACAGCACCTTTGAAGTAGTAGTAAATATTTCTCACTACTTCTTCTACATCTAAGCCAAATGCATCCAGGCCTCTGCCAAATGCATTATGAACCTTATGAAGATTGCAGTTGCCAATATCAATCAAACTTGGTGCCACATGCTTCTGAAGCTTGTTTCTTACGCTCTTCATAACATTAGGGCCATCACTGAAAAAGCAAACAAGTCCTTGCTTTGGAAGATCTGCTATTGCTTCTTCTATGCAGCCAACAATTATTTCAGCGGTTGCACGCCCAAGATCAAATGACTGGACATGTTCAACAACAACTTCCTGTTGGCTGCTGGAAAAATAGCGTACCAGCACATCTAGTTGCTGCACCCTTAGCTCTGGCTTTGGCGTCTCATCAATCATAATGGAAAAATAGACATTTGGCTGGCACAGCTCAGTCACCACTTGTCCTTTAAAGTAGGGACCCAGTCCATCTGATACAATGCGGGCCAACTTTATTCTGCCGCAACTAAACTTTTTGGCAATGTCACTGTCGGGGAACATGCAGTGATAAATCGAAGTTGCCGTGTCTCCCCATGAAAAAAGGAATTCCCTTGGCCACAACAGACAAAGCAAAAGTAGTTTCTGCCTTGCTGACTTGGTGCTCAAGTGATGTATTAGCAGACCCGTTGGAGAAGTCCAGTGTGCCTTGCACCAATTTGGGTGGAAGAAGATTCCCGTCCTTGTCTCTGTGTCTAGCAGCTGCATCAATATGTTTCTTCATCCCAGCATGACGCTTCACTGCTGCCGCTCCATGCTGTGCGCAAGAAATGGTGCAGTTGCAAAGAATACAAAATGCATCTGTATTTCGGGTTCCACTCTTGCACCACCGACTGATCGGATCATTATTGGAGTCCACCTCGTGGAGTACAGAGGCGTTGAACTTGGTGTTGCGATCTGAAAACATGAGCGAAACGAACTTTGTGACAATAAACTTTCCCAAGTGTTTTTTTCAGAGCGTGAATATAGGTAAAAGCAACAGGGTAGACAGAAAGAGCACTGACTTCTAACTTTATATCACAGAGTGGCAAGAATATATATGCCCAAAAAAGAATGATTAAAAACATGACAAAATACAAGCCTAGTCAATGCGTCAGTATAAAAAACTTGCAAATGTGACTACGCACCAACTAGCCCAAGGTTCCACTCTTGTAAATTTTCCCACGACAAAGGCACGCTAGTAAAAAGAGCACGTAACTACTAGATTTATTTTTAGGGTAGCCCGTAACATAATGCCAACCTTACTTCATTGGAAGATCTAAATACCAACTCTAAGGCGCCAACACCAAATATTTGCGCAAGCATTTTGGGTACAGCCTCGACAAATGGCGCGAATCGGGATGCCAGTTGTCTGTCGACCATTCACACCTAAAACTCGCGACCAACTTACAGGAAGTTGCCATGCGGATGACGCGTGGGTCTGACGGCCGCAGACAAACGCATTGCCCCAGCCGGCAAGGCGGCATAAGGCGCTAATGTATGTTGGAGGTTTGCTTCCTTCCGGCGCGGCGCGCGATGACCAGAGCAGAAATCGACAGCAATGTTTTCCTTAAATTAAATATTTAAAAAAGCTGATTGGGAACGGCACGTCACGAATAGCGGATTCCCAACGATCGGCGGCCGCTAATGCGGTAACATTACGGTGCTTATTGACTTGCTTGTGTTGACATGGTCGACGCTCAATCACTCTTTTCCAACTATTCTACAAGCAGCTCGCACGGTGGGGCGCCCGATCCGTGACGCGCCGGCAGCACATACGGCCCATCTAGCGATCTGCTAACGTCAACAAAAGCGACCCGCCTGCAGAAATTCGTAGTGTATTCCGCGTCACTCGCTCGTTCGTTTCGCACTATTATATGTTCCGAACGATAGCATGTAGGAGGTGTAACTGCTGCATGCCGTACGAGCGATTGCGCGTTTCAAATGCGGATATTCCGCACCACGAAACAAGGCACGGCGCACCTTCCTAAGCCTATGTACAGCACTCGGACACTCCGAACACAAAAACCATCAGTAGCGAGAAATCGGAAGAACTATAGGCAAGTTGCAACTTCTGTACTGATTCAATAGCAAAGTGCGGCCGGTAATAAATGCCAGCAGCGCTACGCGATCGTCTAAGCATTCACTAAAGTATTTCACGAGCGCTATTAAGAAATGCCACAAAATTTAAAAAGAAAGCGACTTACTTTTGTCCATTTTAACAGCGGGGGGACAACAAACATTCGCTGACTGGTTGTTCACAAGCACATGGCGCACATGCAACGACACGAGGTGCTGTGCATGAGCGCGAAAACCTACAGAAAACACCCGAACGACACCGACGAATACCAAAGCTGCAAAGCACATGGTAAACAATGGCCAACCTAGAAAAAAATTCACTTGTTGCCAACTGCAAAATGAACATCCGCTAAAGTCAAGTTCTTTCGTGCAATTTGGCGCATTTGGCGCAAACAAAACAACACTTGCGCAGTAAGGCGCAGGAAGGTGTAATTGTAGCTAATTGGCGCAAATGGCGCAGCTGGATCACTACTGCACTTGTAACCAACAAGAGAAAAATTACTGAGGACGTTATATGATAATGAAATCAGCCAATGGTCACTACAGTCTTCCCCGCCTGCTGCAATAAACTAGGTCTTGCCTATTGTCTGCCAAGAGGGGAAGCAGCAATTTTTTACTGCTGTAATTCTCCTGCTATGTACAATGCAATAATATTAGGCTCATATGTTTAAAAGAGCCTTTGACAACAGATAAGCAACATTCTCAATGTTCAGAAAGTGATGCAGAGCCCTTTGAACATGGTGTCATTGCTCTGAATGTTGAAGAAACACTTTGGCTTCACATTGCTGAGAATTGGGAGCTCAGCACTGCTCTGCCCCTTTTTTGCCAATTTGATTTCATCTTGGCAACCTACTAATTATCGCTTTTCTGAGAGCAATTAACTAAGCTTCTTTTACATGATGCACAATACCTATGTCTCCATATGCAGTTACAGCTGTTATTGCTTACATGCAACACTTTATTGACTTGGTGGAATTGCAATAAGCTGAAGAGGTAATTTTCAACACCAAAAATAAAAAATAAAAACAATAGTAAATGAAAAAATAGTAGGTGGTAAACATTCACATTATGCTATTAAATTAAAAAAAAAACAAAGAACAAGAAGACTTACATCTGCATGCGCCTCTGCTGATGCATGGCCATGCTGTTGCCTTTGATGCTGAAAACGTGGACCTCTTCGTACATAAACATTGCCTGTATAGAGAAATAACATTTTTTGGGAAAATTAAGTGGCTGAAGAAAAAATCACCTAATGGTTGACAAAATAAATATGCTCACTAACTGCTTTTTCGCTAAAAGACATTTGCAGTAAGGACACACACTACACAGCACAACCTTAATCTGAAGAAAAATACTGTGGTGTGTTTGACCAAACACTGCGAAACACGAATGTGTGGACCATGTTTCAGTCTTGCCAGAAACATTAATCCAAGTGCATGCTTACAGGAGGAAAGGTGTGTGCATATGTGTGTGTGCATGTGAAAAAGAAACTCTAGATCTACAAGCGATACATTTTCGTTATTTCAATCAGACAAGATTGCTACCCCCCTGGTCATCTCAAGCATTGAAATTAGCTTGCACTTATGAGTCTAGTAGAGGTTTTGCACCATCAACAAGTCGGAAGTGTGTCATTGTTATCGTCAATGCTTCTCCATATTTTGTGTTTTCAGTGATCCCACTGGGGACTGCCGATTTGAAGCAATTTTTGTAAAAGTTAAATTTTAGTTTTGGAGCCCTTTGGAGCAGTAAAATATTAGTTTTGGAGCAACTTGAGCACTAAAATTTTACTTTTGGAGCATTTCGGAGCAGGTAATCTTGCAATTAAGAGCATTTTGGAGCAGGTAATCTTGCTATTAGAAGCATTTTACAGCAGTAAAAATTTAGTTTTGGAGCAGGCAATCTTACTATTAGGAGCACTTCGGCATAGGTATACAGTCAAACCTCATTATAACAAAGATGAAGGAGTCATAATTACTTCGTTAAAACCATTAGTTCATTATAGCCATTATCCATTTCTACAGCAAGAGAGAATGTACTCACTACCGAATATCACAGCAGCTCACCGCATAGAGAAGAACGGCCATTGGAAGGCCAAAAACTAGCAAAATAACAAAGAACAATGCACCTTTACTTCCACCAAGTTTGGCACACCAGATGGAAGATTACTTCGAAGAAAGTAGTTCATAACAGATTTTTACCGACTCTTCCTCACGTGGATGACTGCTTTTTAAGCTCCAGCAGCTGTTTCGAGTCCGTCACATCCAGTGCTTGTGCGGGTGTTGGTACGTAGGGTTCGCTAACACTAGGCTCAGGGGTGTCAACATATTTGTCACTGTCGTCATGCACCCCCATCGCCGCGCGCACCATTTCCGCATCTGACAACTCTTTCGTTCTCACCGCGTCAGCATCAGCACCGACGTACATGCAGAAAGTTATGCACAACGACGGCGTCAAGGAGAGCATCCCACGATGTCTGGGCGTAGTCGCCCGCGGCACCCTCACTGGCAACATCGTTGAAATTTTCTACTACTTTTTCTTTCTCAACACAGGACTCAACGGCTTTCAACATTGCCGACTTCTGCTCGATTGTTATATTTTTGCGCTTACATTTGCTGCTGCTATTGTCCATCTCGTGTCAGGCGGCGAAGCTAATAAAGGTGGTTTTGCTGTTCCACAGCGAACGACAAGGAACATAGCAACAGAACAGCTACCACTTACATAGCCGCAATCTTCGCTGTCCCATTGCAGAGCTGAAGGGGAAGAAGAGGTCAGATGCGCGGGCGGGTCAATGAGTTCTACAAGAGAAGGGAAGCCGGCTGACGCACGCGCTGGCGCAAGTTACTGCACGAGCAAGTCCATTAGTTCCCGAGGAAAGGGGAGGCAGGGAGACACACCCACGCGCGTGTTGGCAGACGGCTCCCAACGAGCGCAAGGCGCGAGTTATGAATAATTGCAGCCGTGATGATGCGTAAACCATCCCGCGCTATGAGATATTGAATTGACGTATACCAAAATGATCAGTAAATGCTCGTTTTGGACAAAGGATGGTTCTTCATACCGATTGAGAAAAAATTTTCACTACGTTAAAATGAAATTTTAAATATATGGGTGTCTATGAAAATTTCGGGGGGAATTACAATTATGAAAATTTCGGGGGGAATTACAATTGCTTTGTTATATCTATTAGTTTGTCATATCCCGCTTCATTTTAACGAGGTTCTACTTAACACGAAGCGGCGCGAGAAACGAACATGGGCTTTACCGCTGCTCGACAGCGGTACTCCTAGCATAAAATCAAGTGCACACACCTGCAAACTTGATTCGATCCAGCGCGTCGAATCAAGTGCACGCGTGTGCACTTGATTCGACGCCCTGGATATCGTCGTATGAGATTCTCACATCAATGGCAGCGTGATGTCCTTGGAACGCGAAAATGTGGTTATCAAACCAGTACTTGAGGCCTTTTGTAGTTTGTAGCCCTTTTATTTTACAAAATAAACAATTGATTGATTGATTGATTGATATATGGGGTTTCATGTCCCAAAACCACCATATGATTATGAGAGATGCCGTAATGGAGGGCCCCGGAACTTTCGACCACCTGGGGTTCTTAACGTGCACCCAAATCTGAGTACACGGGCCTACAATATTTCCGCCTCCATCAGAAATGCAGCCGCCGCAGCCGGGATTCGATCCCGCGACCTGCGGATCAGCAGCCGAGTACCTTAGCCACTAGACCACCACGGCGGGGCACAAAATAAACAATATTTAGTGCTTGATGCATGTTGGTTTTGTTCCTAGGTGTAATACCATATTTACTCGTGTAATGAGTGCACTCACATAATATATGCACCCCCACTTCAGTCATCAAAATTTGAATTTTTTGCCCTGCATAATGAACGAACCCCCTACATTCATCTCCTGCAGTCTCAGCGCACTCACATAATAAATGCACCCCAACTTCAGTCATCAAAAGTTGGATTTTTTGCCCTGCAAAATGAACGAACCCCGCACATTCATCTCCTGCAGTCCCACTAATCAACACCTGGTGCCTACTTACTCTTTGAATCTCTTCCGTTTTTTAATTATTATGCCGACTCCCCTTGGCTACCTCGACTCACTCTCTCTCCCCCCCTTCGCCCACTGTTGCATGCTGTATTGTTTTTATTTCTATCTGTGCGCGGCTCGTCCCCCATCTTCATCTGTGCGCCTTGCGGGGTTCAAGAATGCGAGTGTAGAGACATCGCAGCTCATAAGCACACAGAGAGCGAAGGTCACGAGTCTGCCCGCACGAACTGACGATGGCTTCCTGGAAGTGCAAAACTTGATGTGCATGGTACTTGCGAGCCATAATGACAGGATTTGCAGTCACAAAGGGTCATTTGTCACTATTGTGTCTCAGGTTTCTGGAAAACCAGAAAAAGCGCCGCCATATCCACGAAGTGAATGATGATGAGTGGGCGAAGCTCCGGAGGTAAACCATCAATCCTCCGTACATTTTGCCCAATTTTATTTCAACACTCCCCCTAGAGTACGTCGCCGCACTAAATCGAACGATTGCCTTCCACCAATGACACGTGCCATATGTGACATCATTCCAACTTTATAACATCCCGCATCTTTCATCATCAGCTACAAGTACCGCCGTCTAGTTTATAACATCTTGCATCTTTTCATCATCAGCTACCAGTACCGCCATCTAGTGAACGCTACAAGAGGTGGCTACATACAGGGGACAGTACCGCCATCTAGTGAACACTGCAAAAACTAAACGAGAGGTGGCTACATTCAGGCGACGCACAGTCCACGCCTTAAGGAGCTTCGCCCCTAAAAAATCGCTTGTCACCCAGAAAAGATCGTGACGATTTCCACAACATGGCAGCACCCCCGATACTCGCCTCGCTTGTTCGCCGTGCGTGAAGAAACCTCTCATGTGGAAGTGAGGCGGCGGCTGTATTTTGTCATTAATCTTGCTATCGACTGTTTGTTTTGATGTTTCGGAGGTAGCTTGCTGCAATATTGGTTACCTGCTACAATGACAGCAGTGCCGCTGTGCGATGTTACCACGTAGTTGGCAAAATGCATCGTAGCACACGCTTCTGGGTGCCCCTCGAGATCACAATACCACTGTTGCGGTTAAACGATTGCAAGATCGCCGCAAAACGCTTTTCTCTTCGTGATTTCAACTATGATATCCTTAACCGCAGTTTGTTCCCTAATCCAATCTGCTCTCTTCTTGTCTCTAGAGGTTACACCTACCATTTTTCTTTCCATTGCTCGCTGCGTCGTTCTCAACTTAAGTTGAATCCTCTTTGTAAGTCTCCAGGTTTATGGTCAGTAGCTAAGTACCGGCAAGACACAGCTGTTATATACCTCCCTCTTGAGGAATAGTGGCAATCTACCTGTCATGATATGAGAGTGCTTGCCAAATGTGATTCACCCCATTCTTATTCTTCTAGTTACTTCAATCTCATGGTTCGGCTCTGCGGTTATTACCTGCTCTAATAGACATAGTCTTTTACAATTTCAAGTGCATTATTACCTATCTCGAAGCGCTGTTCTCTTCAGAGGTTGTTGTACATTACTTTCGTTTTCTGCAGATTAATTTTAAGACCCACCTTTCTGCTCTCTTTGTCTAACTCCGTAATCATGAGTTGCAATTCGTCCTCCGAGTTACTCAGCAATGCAATGTCATCGGCGAAGCGCAGGTTACTAAGGTATTCTCCATTAACTCTTATCCCTAACTGTTTCCATTCTAGGCTTCAAAAAACCTCCTGTAAGCACGCGGTAAATAGCATTGGGGAGATTGTGTCCCCCCTGCCTTACACCCTTCTTGATTGGTATTCTGTTGCTTTCTTTATGAAGCACTATGGTAGCAGTTGATCCCCTGTAAATTTCTTCCAGAATGTTTATATATACTTCATCTACGCCCTAATTCTACAGTGTCTGCATGACGGCTGATATTTCTACTGAATCAAACGCCTTCTCGTAATCTATGAAGGCTATGTATAGTGGTTGGTTATACTCTGAGCATTTATCTATTACCTGATTGATAGTATGAATGTGGTCAATTGTTGAGTAGCCTGTTGGAAATCCTGCTTGTTTGGTTAAGGTTAACCATTTGGTTAAGTAATCCTAATTAGCAAATTAATTACAAAAATATGTAGTGAGTAAGATGGTTGTCAACAATATGCTACTCATTTCAATTGCCTAATACTGTATATTTAACCCTTGACTAAGACAGCTGCGACAGCCCCTACCCTGCCCTGCCCTGCCATGCATATGCGTGAAGCACATACCCAAGTGATATATTTATAACAAGGATTTTTTTTTTATGCTATGAGGGTGCTTCAAACTTTGCATATAGAAGCGAAAGTGTGTTGTGCAAAATAATCTATGCAAAATTATTGCTTATGGACATTACTTTGGACTATTAAATATATAGAAAGTTTAAACCACTTTTAATGATGGCTTAACAATATATCAGATACAGTATAGAGTGTTACAACGTGAGTACCTAGAGTCATATATCTGAATTATAACAAAAGTGACATTTTCAAAGGCTCCACATGTGCAATAATAATATCTGACCAGAGCCACCATGTCATCGGATGAAAAGTGCAGTCGTACATTTCACAAACTGAAATACGACTCTGAAGAAATATGTGCTGCACTACAATACTGCAGTGGCATGCAGGCAGCGTGTTACATGTGCTCCTTCTGGCCTCAGAACACCATGATGAGACCATTCATCCATTCTTTATGGGAAAAAGGAGACAAGTGAAATCTGTTGGAAATCAGCAACGTATGCTGGCTGGAAAACATGATCATTGGAGTTATCGAAATAGGTTTTCAAGCTGGTGCAGCAGGCAAGCACTTCGGCAGCAGCTTCAGTGCACAAGTTACAAAAGCAAATGCTCTTGCGAGGAGGAGCACGTGACAATGGCCTTGTGCGAGCACTGTGTTGCAGTGAAGCATGCCTCCGCCTCTGCAGAGGCGCATTTCAGTGATGCGCAAACCAAACTGTAAACCCTAGCTTTGTTGTTTTTGTGGCAGCAATGAGGCTGTGGTGCTTCAATCATCAAAATCACGACGCAGCCTTGCCCTGTGCCTTTGTAGGAATGTTTTATTCCTGCTTTTCTACCAAAAAAAGGACTGGGAATAGTGACAGAATACAGTCGAACCTCGATATATCGAACAGCGCGGCGATCGCGAAATAGTTCGATATATCCAGAATTCGATATAAAAAATCACAAAAAAAATGCGTCAGCAGCTTGCTGAAAACAACCAACCATTCAAGCGTGGTGCAGTAAATACTCACTTGAAGATTCAAACATAGTATTTATTGTGTTGGTTTAAAATATTGAAAAAGAGTAGCCTGCTTTTTGTTGGCCATGGCGTGTTTGACGACTGCGTCCTCAATATAGTCCAGGCGGTCCATAAGTGATAGGACGGTGCCTTCAATCGCGCCGCCACTGCGGCGCACAAGGGCCAAGGCAGCTACAACCTCAGCTGATGTCGTGAGCGGGGCACGATCAGCGCTTGCGGGATCCACCTCGGCAGAGTCTTTATTTGGCTGGCTGCTCAGCAGTAGCTTCGGCGACAATCTCAACATCCGTGAGCTCCGCCGTTCGGTGTTAAGCCTGTCGCGCACCACAGCGCGCAACAGGCCTAACTCCGAACGCACGAACACTGCGAGCACAACGACCGATGCCTGCCGATGCTACGGGGGAGGAGCTTGCAACAAGTGCGCAGTGTGCCGTTGACACCATAGAGACTGCAACGACTGCAAGCTGCAAGGCTGCGGCGTGAGTGGTGGTAGTGTTTAGAAGATGAGAAAAGGCACTTAATTTCTGCAACCCGGTCGGGAGCACGGCGCAGTGCCTAACGGCGTGAGTCAGGTTGTGAAGCGCGCACATGGTGCGCCCATGCTGGCTCGCCTGACTGCTTTCCCTTTCCCGGCGGCAGCGCGGGCCGCGTCCGAGACAGTCGTCAGCGTCCTTTCTCTCCAATACTTTCCTCCTCAATCTTTACCTCCCACTCCCCCTTCCCCCGCGCGAAGCCGTGTCGGTGCCTTCGTATTGAAAGACAATAACAGCTCCGCGCTTTTCTCTTCACTTTCCTCATTCAAGAACCTCTACCGCAAGGCTGCGGCGCGCGTACGCCGCTACGTTAAAGTTAAAGTTAAAGTTAAAGGCCGCTACGCCATCGATGTGTGCAGCATTCGTAAACGCCCGCCGCTCTACCGCTACTTTCGAGAGTTGCGGAAAAGCTCGTTGCCTGTCAATGGAGCGCGGGCGGTTTGGGGTGGCCGAGTTCGATATATCCATTATATGTCAAACTGTTCGAAATAAAAAAATCAATAATGCATGCGATTTCCCACGTGACATAGGAACTGTTCGATATAGGCAATAATTCGATACATCCGTGTTCGATATATTGAGGTTTGACTGTACTTGAAATATTTGAATTAACCAGGCTCATGCATACTTGCTTTAAACTATCCAGTCACATTTGCATTAGAAGATACATGACTGTAGAAATTCTTCAACTGAGGCCAGATTTCAAAAGAGGCAATTGCAATTTATTTGAGGTTTTACTGCACCTTAAGTTCACCCTATAACAAGTGTGTGCCTCACAATGTCACTCTTGCAAGAGTTTGACAACAAATAATGACTGTATTACACTAGGCAGCAATACTTGAATGACAAGTTAAGAAATTAGGAAAAATATATGCACTGTAGTTTCATCTACCTAATATTGACTGGATGTGGAGGGAAAAAGCCTTTTTACACTTTCCTGAAACTAGATAAAGCAACTCCTTATTACCTTACATTAGTAGACTTGTTTTTTCCCCTTCACTGAGGATCATGAGCTGCGCAAATGTTTATCATTACGACCCACAAACATGTATAAATAAGAAGAAACTCACTTGAAAAGGCATTTCCGAAGAACATGTTGAAAAGCTCCTCTGGAGATATATCGCCTGGTAAGAAATTAAAACATACCATGTAGTTATCATTGCAGCAATAAAATAAGTCATTATATAGTGACTCTTGCCCCTCCCCCTGCCCCACACAAATTTGCGAACTGAAATATAAATTGCGGGTCAACAGCTTAATGTGACCAATGTGCATATAAAGCTGGCCTGTTAGCATACAATAGTAAAAAAATTGAACAAATTGGAAAATACTCATTATAGCCAGCACAAACGAGATACAAACGAGAAAATAAACTAATTCCTGCACCGTCATTTCTTTTTCTTGTACATATCTTGTATGCACTGGCTGCCATGAGCATAGTAGAACTTGCGAAGCCTAAACATAGCCTCTTCTATGCACTATGTGCCCATTAAGCACTCCCTTAGCAACAGCCATCATTTCCTCTCACCCACAGGAGTAATATGCTGCATTCCACAGAACCAACTACACAGGGCCAAGTGTCCTGTGGGGCTACTGCCTCATGGCTTAAGCAATCATGCATTGCGATATTCTTGTGCTACCAAGAATGTTTATTTATAGTTGCGCTTGTTTATGGCCGCTTCATTAAGTAGAGTACAAATTTGTAGACCTACAGCAGGCCATTGGTGTACTGCTTTTTGTGCCACATCCCTAGTCAGATTAAAAATAAAAGAATCTTGGCAATTCTTAAGAACTTTGTCCCCACGAGACAGCACAATAGTAAATAGAAGCTGTGCCCAATGCAACATCCAAGTACTAGGAGTATGTATCAAGCTTATTTCAGTGAGACAGACTTCAAAAAGGTAAAATGGCCAGAAGTCCAGAAGCATATTCTCCTTTTGGCATTCTCCAACTGCCCATCACACATGAGGTAACAACTGTATAGAGGTCAACAAATGTTGAGCTACACAATGTGAAAGTAAAGATAAATTGGGGCAGACTTCTGGACTAGTTGGACTTGCATTTTAGCTAAGTCAAATTAGCACCAATGAAGGCCAACTCAAAGACAAGGTAGACAAGGACAAACACTCAATTGCAGTAACCAAACTTTGGCAGATTATGAGTAGCAAACAAGAGTAATATTTATATAAAATTCGTTATTTTCTCCAGAAGTCACTAATATAAAAATTTGTGCAACTGTAACAAGTGACATTCCCCCCCTCTGAAAGTATGTATATTCAGTTTGCATCCTTTAGCTTTCACTGCAAAAAGCCCTCTGAAGCAATAATATTTTGCACATGTGCTGTCATATATATGAACAGTGCACAACAGCTAGTTTGAAATACATTGCTGAATTCACACCAAAATAAAAATTGCATAACAACAAGCCGGTCTTCCCAATGCTCACATAAGTATGAGGTCATTTATGCAGGCATAAGCAGTTGTAGGCATCAGTCGGGATAAGTTCACTGTTGACATGTTTAGAATACATATGACTTTTGGCACTTTTGGTGAAAATACTCCAGAACTGCAGCACAACCACAAAATAAGTGTAAAGCGCTTTCACGCTCACAGCCTTGGCCACATACTTGGCACACCTCCAGCAGCTGTCATATTTTCAATATCTCATGTTAATGATACCCCTAATAAATGGGTGATGGAGCCATGCAACTCTTCCAACGACACTTCCTACTGTTGTTTAAACAGAAATAGGAGGCTATGGCCCAAACGAAAAACTGTACCCCCCCCCAAAAAAAAAGAAAGCTGTTCCTACAAAATAAAAAACAGCCACTAATGTATAAATGCTTAGGAATTAAGGAACAACTTCGTGAACAGAAAAACAAAAATAACTGGAGAAAAATTTAATAGTTCACAGGAAGTGAAAAAAGTTCAGATAAACCAAAAGCACATAAATAAATCATACCAAGAACTTAAATTCACTTAATATCTTATAATATTGTCACGTGCTTGCTCAAGAAAGACGATAGCAGTTGTGCATGTGCCACGAAGGACTACGAAATGGACGAAGAAGAAGAACTCGCTTGCGCGTTCTAATTAAAAAAAGATCGACCTGCTTCTGGTGTCTAAATCTCTACGGCAAGACCTCTGTTTTGACGTCGTGACACTGGTGGAGGTGCTGGGGCCTACAACCGGATGCAGGACAGTCTTGCTCAGACCCGTTCACCTAGTCCAGAGACCCAGCCCCTCGTCACGACTCCGGTGCACCGATTCAGTCGGTGCCTACTAGGCCTAAGTTCAGAGTCCGCACCTGTTCCGCCTCTAACCAGCATGGCAGCTCCTACCACATCCACGGCTACCCTTACATCGCAGACCACTCTTCCCTCGCAGGTGACTCTTGAACATCCTCGCGTTCCTGAAGTTTTCCATGGGGAAGAGTACGAGGATGTCGAGGACTGGTTCGAACAGTTCGAACGGGTCGCTGTATCTAACCACTGGAACGAACAGCACAAACTTGGCCGTGCGTATTTCGCGCTGGAAGATAGCGCTCGCACGTGGTACGAGAACCACGAGGCTACTTTCCAATCTAGAGAAGATTTCCATCGAAAGCTCCTCGCCACATTTTTGAACACGGACCGACGGGATCGCGCACAGCAACTGATTGAGGCTCGCGCACAAAAACCCAACGAAACAGCCGCCATGTACGCAGAGGGTATGATCCGTCTGTTTCGACGAGCTGACCCTGACATGCCCGAGGCGAAGAAGGTGCGTCACCTAATGCAGGTGTCAAAGAACCAGTGTTTGCGGGCCTCGTACAAAATCCACCTACAACAGTAGATGAATTCATAAGAGAGGCGACTGTCATCGAGCGCGCACTGCGACAACGATACCGACACTTTGACCGCCTGCCGAACCACACTGCAGTAAGTGCTGCAGCTCAGAACACTGCCATGTGTGAAAGTTCCCTGCGACAAATGATTAGGGAAATACTGAGTGAGGAACTTTGGGCCCTCTGCGTCCCTCCTACCCAATCGCCCGTCGCATCTGTTGCCGAAATCATCCGCCAGGAGTTGAGGCAAGACGTTACACCTCCGGCGCCAAGTCCTGAGCCACATCCAGCGAGCTACGCTGATGTGGTCCGTCGTCTTCGACCGTCATTTGTGGCGACACCCTTCCAGCCACGACCCACGGCCACACCTTGGTGGCAACGGGATTCCATGAGACGACCACCAGTTAGCCGAACTGACTTGTGGCGCATGGCCGACCGTTGACCTATTTGCTTCCGCTGCGGAGAACCAGGTCACATTGCTCGCTATTGCCGTCATAGCGATTCCGGCTTCGGGAACTTTTCTCGTCCCGCTTCTTTCCGCTCTGAAGACCGTCGTGCCCACCATGCCGATCAACTGTCGACTGGCCAAGCAACTACACCGCGTCGCTGACGTTCTCCATCTCCTGCGCGTCATCGTGACTTCCCTCAGAGCTATGTGGACGTCACCAGAGGCCGTTCGCCTAGCCCGCGCCGGGGAAACTAACTGCTGCGACCTCCGGGGGCAAGGTTGCCAATCGTCGAGACACCGAAAAGTTCCCCCTATCATCGCAAGAAGATATGACGACAACCACGACGAATACGACGACGAATACGACAACGAATACTAATGCCGGTGAAGTTGTACGTGCTGGTCTTTGCCTTTTCATTGACGGACATCACGTTACAGCACTGGTCGACACTGGCGCCGACTTCTCAATCATGTGACAAGAACTCGCCGACCGCCTTAGAAAGGTCAAGACACCGTGGACAGTGCCACACATAAGGAGTGCTGGTGGTCAGCTGATGATTCCCACGGCTGAATGCACCGCTCGACTTCACATTGGGGATTCTAGCTTCGTGGCCACATTCGTCCTGTTGCCAGACTGCTGTAAAGAGCTAATTTTGGGCATGGATTTTCTTCGAGATCATGGCGCTGTTATCAACATCCTTCAACGTATGGTGACGTTTTGCGCACATCCGTATGTCGAAGACAGCAGCAACGAACTACGCGGCAGTTTGCGAATAGCCGACGATGTGACGCTCCCACCGAGATCCTCCTGCCTTGTGTCTGTGTCCAGTGGGTGGCCTTCCTATAAGGATGTGATAGTGGAGCACATAGTCGCTCTTTTGCTCACGCAAGGCATTTCCATCGCGAGCGGCATCCTAACGCTTACTGGTGGACAGGCAGAAGTGCTCCTCACAAACTTCAGCAACGAGCGCCGTCAAATCCAGAAGGGTACCGCAATTGCCTACTTCGACGATATAGACCAAGCCGGACATTGCTGTGCTTTGCAACCAGATGACGCGACAGTCCCTGCCTCGACAACTTTGTCGGTGGACATCTGCTCCACGCTACCGCCCTCTGATAAAAAGCGCCTGCTTGGACTTATACACCAATTCAAAGACTGCTTTTCGCGTACGTCAAAGGTCCAGCGGACACCATTGACCAAGCATCGCATCATTACTGAAGACAACACGCGACCGATTCGGCAGAACCCCTATTGTGTTGCTCCGAAAGAACGCGAGGAGATTCAGAAGCAAGTACAGAACATGCTCGTGGATGACGTCATACAACCTTCAAAAAGTCCTTGGGCGTCCCCCGTGGTTTTAGTCAAGAAAAAAGACGACAGCTTACGTTTCTGTATTGATTATCGCAAGTTGAACCAAGTCACGAAGAAAGACGTCTATCCACTGCCTCGCATAGACGATTCACTCGATCGGCTGCGTCATGCGCGCTATTTCTCTTAAATGGACCTCCGAAGCGGCTACTGGCAGACAGAAGCCGACGAGTGAGATCGTGAAAAAACGGCCTTTGTGACGCCTGATGGCCTTTACGAATTTAAGGTGCTTCCTTTTGGGTTGTGCTCGGCGCCAGCCACTTTTCAGCGTCTCATGGACACCGTACTATCGGGCCTGAAGTGGCAAACATGCTTGGTCTATCTGGGCGATGTTGTTGTATTCTCAGCATCATTCGAGGAACATCTCAGCTGTCTATCCACCGTAATCCAAGCCATACGCTCGGCCGGCCTGACTTTAAAACCAGAAAAATGTCATTTTGGTTTCAACGAACTCAGCTTCCTAGGCCACGTCATCAGTCACGAGGGTGTTCGACCTGACCCGGCCAAAATAGACGCCGTAGCGCCATTTCCTGCACCCCGTGACAAAAAGGCTGTCAGACGCTTCTTAGAGTTGTGCGCCTATTACCGGCAATTTATCAAGGACTTTTTGTCATTTGCGGCGCCATTGACACGACTCACACGTGAGGACGTCCCCTTCTTTTGGGGTGAATAGGAGCAAATGGCATTCAATGAACTGCGACAACGCTTGCAAACACCTCCAGTCCTTGCGCACTTCAACCAGGACGCCCCTACAGTACTTCACACTGACGCCAGCAATGTAGGTCTAGGTGCCGTTCTGGTGCAGTGGCAAGACGGCTGTGAAAGAGTAATAGCCTACGCCAGCAGAACTCTCTCTCGCACGGAGGAGAACTACTCAACCACCGAGAAGGAGTGTCTCGCCATGGTGTGGGCAGTCATCAAGTTTCGTCCGTATTTGTATGGCCTCTACTTCAAGGTTGTTAGCGACCATCACTCTTTGTGCTGGCTCACCAACCTTAAAGATCCATCTGGTCGTTTGGCGCGCTGGAGCCTAAGACTTCAAGAGTTTGACATGACCATGGTCTACAAATCTGGGAAGAGGCACACCGACGCCGACTGTCGGTTCTTGTCGATTCTTGGGAGTTGTCAACACGGCCACTATTGCACGAGAGCAGCGCAGTGACCCTGAGCTGTTAACACTCATTGAATATTTAGAAGAACGACGTAAAGACGTGCCGCGGTTATTTGCTAGAGGACTGCCGAGGACTGCCATCTTTTTGCTTGCGAAACGATGTTCTCTATAAGAAAAACTTCTCACCAACCGGTAACCCACACTTGCTCGTCGTGCCTGCCTCTCTTCGAAAAGAAATTATGGAAGCGTGCCATGATGAAGCAACTTCTGGTCATCTAGGCTACACCCGAACATTGTGCCGACTACGATGCAAGTACTACTGGCCAAAGTTACCTGCTGCTGTTAACCATCACGTGCGAACTTGCACCGACTGCCAAAGACTCAAAGCGCCTCCCAGCAAGCCAGCCGGTCTTTTACATCCAGTCGAAGCACCAGAAAAGCCGTTCACCCAGATTGGAATGGATTTCCTGGGTCCCTTTCCAACTTCCACAACAGGGAACAGATGGAATATTGTGGTCACTGATTACCTGTCCCGTTATGCGGAGACTAAAGCTATGCAGCGTGGCACAGCAGCAGAAGCCGCTAAGTTTTTCATCAAAAACATCATCCTTCGGCATGGCGCTCCGACAACAGTGATCACAGACAGAGGACCTGCCTTCACCGCAGAACTTTTGGAGTCGGTTCTCAGACTCAGCGGTACAGCTCACCGCAGAACAACTGCATACCATCCGCAGACAAACGGACTGACGGAGCGCCTCAATAGGACCCTCACAGACATGATCAGCATGTACGTTGACACGGAACATAAAAACTGGGATCAGATATTGCCGTACGTGACCTTTGCTTATAACACCGCTTGACGAGAAACCACTGGAATGACACCGTTCAGTCTGATCTATGGTCGCGAAGTCACGACAACATTGGACACCATGTTGCCGCATGAGTGTGACGACATCCATGTAGACGCCGAAGAATTCACTCAGCGTGCCGAAGAAGCCAGACAGCTCGCGCGCGTGCGTATCTGTCATCAGCGGCATCAAGATGCACAACGCTACGACACCCGACACAAGTTTGTTAGCTACTCACCAGGTGACAAAGTGTGGGTCTGGATTCCGATACGTCGACGTGGACTGTCTGAGAAACTGCTAAGACGGTACTTTGGTCCATACAGTGTCACGCGACGCTTGAACGATGCGAAGTCGTTCCCGACACTAATTGTAGTTTTAAGCGCCAAAAGCGTTTGCCCGAAGTCCTGCACGTCGTGCGTATGAAACCGTATTTATCGAGTTAATTAGCTCCCGGTTACCGTTTTCGTACGACCACTTCATACGCCTGGTAGAGCACCTAAGTTGCGCATCGGGACGATGCTTCTTTCGGAGGGAGGCAAATGTCACGTGCTTGCTCAAGAAAGACGACGGCAGTTGTGCATGTGCCACGAAGGACTACGAACTGGACAAAGAAGAAGAACTCGCTTGTGCGTTCTAATTAAAAAAAGATCGACCTGCTTCTGGTGTCTCGATCTCTACGGCAAGACCTCTGTTTTGACGTCGTGACAATATCTTTACAGTCAGTATCCGACTTTCGACTCCTTAAGGTCAGTGCAATCAAATGAATGCATCTTTTTTTTTTTCTACCCTCAAGGGTTAAAATGATCACCACACCAACGTTTAAAATCGCACTAAAGTATTTTAAATAAGCTTATTAGGTGTCTTGGTGCTTTCCAGTGCCTTTACAGAAGCAGGAGATGGCATGCACATGTGTGTATAGTAAAGGAATGCTTATTATGCTCCCCAGCTGTGGCTCCTTTTTACTTTAAGTATGCTTTACGACAACATGTGATTCTTCGACTGTATGTCACCTATTAAAGTATGCTCCACCACAAAATGTGATTCTTCGACTGTATGGCACCTGTTCACTGTAGAAAAGTCGAATTTTCGAAGTCCCAACAGCTGAAGGTAGAGTAGCAGGCGAGGACCCGATGAAAGCGGCGAGATATAAACATGGCAGCACTGGTGGTACTCATGTTTCAAACCTGTGATGAAGTCTCAGTAAAGACTAGGCTCATGCAAATACTCGAATGAATAGTTGAGTATTCGAATTCGCTTCGATTCGAATTTAAATTATCGAATATTTTCGAACTATTCGCAATGAAAGAATAGATGTACATTAGTCCGCATGTAATTGCCTGTAAATATAATTTGACTGCAATCTAGAAATGCTAAGCCGTGAAAGCACCTATCCAAAGATAATTCGCTTTGCCGTAAAGCCCCCCTTCAAATTTAAAGGGGCTCTGCAACACTTTATGAACATGGTCAGAAAACGCTGCCGGTCGGTATTCGAGGCTACCGAGAATACGCGAGGCAAATATTATAGCGCGTAACGCGGCCTGTAATTCACAATAAATCTTCAAAGCTAAAAATTGCTTTCTTCCTTCAGTATATGACACTACAAGCTCGAAAATCACTTGTCACAGCCATTGGTTGATTTGAGCATGGCGCGCTCGTCGTTACCGGGGCCGCCATGGGAGGCCGCTGCTTGTCACGAGTACATGCGCGATCGCACTGAAAAGCCGTGCATTCGAAGAACAAAAAAGTGCTTAAGGTCACGAGGTGCATGTGACGTATTTTCTTTTCCTGTGATATTTCTCCCTGCTTGAATTCCTGCTATTTCGTTGGGATGAGAAGAGAGAATGCTATTGCAGCGTGTGACAAATTATAGCAACTCCGCTCATATTGGACTGATTCTAGAAACTTTGCAGGGCTAAACTTGTGAGGCAACAAGCATGTTTACTGGCTCCACAGCTACTTCAAAAAGTGTTGCAGGGCCCCTTTAAAGAAACATGTTACCCTTTAAATCAATTCATTTTTTTAAGCTTGTTATAACGGCTTATATGCTCCAAATATAATAAACTTTAAAACACTAAGTATCTTATCACTCGCATCCAACCGAAACTACTACTCAAGGTTGTTTTGACTTCCTTTAAACGAAAAAAAAAATGGCATTTGCATAGAGCCCCTATTTCAATTTAAAAAAATATTGTGCAGGTTAGTTAGGTCATGATAAATATTCCCCCTTTTTTTACATGTCATACATACCATTCGAATTTGATTCGAAATCATTCGATCAAAATCCCTATTCGCTTCGAACCTACAATTCACTATTCGCACAAGCCTAGTAAAGACGCACCTTTTGCAATCATGGGCACACTATTTCGCCATCAGTGAGATCCAGCCACATGGCAGTCAGTCTGGTGCAGGCACACAAGCTACTGTTGAAGGATCTCATCGTATTGGCCGTGAAGTGCCACATCCGACACTTTGCAATACATCAAAACAAATCTGTCTGTCACATAGACCAACATATCATATGCAGTCCAACAAACTAAAACAGCAAAAAGCATTACCACAAGCTTAACAACATTCCATTCTATGTGATAATTGTGGCACTGCACACTCCCCTGCTACTACATTAGAGCTGGACCTTATCATAGCTTCTTCTTATGTCAGAATAAACTAACATGCGGTCAAATACTGCATCAGCTTACTGATACTTAACAAACAACAGTGGTTCTATGGCAATGCAAGCCCAACAGGTGACAGCTGAGATGCCTACCTTCAAAGCCTCGGCTGTAGTCATAGCTTTCACCACTATAGCTATGTTGCTGAGGGACAGCTGAGATGCCTACCTTCAAAGCCTCGGCTGTAGTCATAGCTTTCACCACTATAGCTATGTTGCTGAGGTGGTCGATTGCCATTCATGTCGTACAGCTTCCGCTTCTCAGGGTCACTGAGCACGGCATAGGCATTTCCAATAGCCTTAAAAGCATCGCCAGCTCCAGGAGCCTTGTTCTTGTCGGGGTGCACTTGTAGTGCCAGCTTACGGTACTGCTTCTTGAGCAACTCGTCGTCTGCATCACGACTCACACAGAGCACCTCGTAGTAGTCTTTGCACAGCTTTGTTCTGCAAAAATGCACATCTCGGGAACCTCAGAGAACAGGCCTATAGACGGGTAGTCACGCCAACTGAACATACTGTAGCAAGCAGTAAAGCCTTCAGAAATGAGAAACATACTAGCACAGCACAGTATATTTATTAAATGCCACATACTCTCATGTTGAAACTTGAAAAACATTAAACAAAAGGGAAATTAAAAATAGGTACACACAAAAAAAGTTCTAGGGTTTTATATGCTAAAGCCAAAATCTTATGAGGCATGCTGAACGAATTGGGAAGTTTCTTAGCATTTCATAAATGCAATGACACAGGTGTTTCTGCATTCCACATCCAAAGGACAGGAGCTGTTGTGGCTGTCATCAAACTCGAAATCTTATGCTCAGCAGAATAATGTCACAGCATAACACCAATGTTCAAAGCACTTTCTAATCTATATTTCAATAATTAATAGAATCTTAAAATATAAAGAAATAAAAGTGATAATTACAATCGAACTGTAGCAATGCAGCTCGAGCAAATTTAAATTGCCTAATCAATTTTTTCACATGTCATTTTAGCTCAACTTTCAGTGAGAATAAGTTTATCAGCACCACTTATGGCACTGACTGGACTTCTATTGGCAACTTGCACAATTCTGAAGAAGCACCCCAAGATTTCTGCTACTTATCTCTTAAGGTAATGAATGTTAACACTAAAGAAGTTTGCATGCAATCCCTGGATAACTGAAGGTTTCTTAACTCAAGCACCAAAAAACAGCCATTTAACATAAGTCCAACACTTAAGCATAAAAAATATAGCAACATGTTAAATAACCTTCTAACAAAATTTTAAAAACACCTAATGATTTTATTATGAAAAAGAGCTCCTTAAAGGCAAAAAAAATATTAATAACCCCAATGAAAAGTGAACTTTTCATTGAATATTTTAGACAGATCTCAGGTCAGTAAAACAGTTTATAAAATAAAGTATAACAAACAAACCTACACTGAGTCATCCAACTAGCCTAGTCAACTTGTTATTAATTCTATGAAATATACAATGATAGCCCATAGCTTTGTTGTATGCACTTATCCATTGTACCCCTTTATTTTTCATAATTCCTGTAACCCCTGATGTCATAAAATCTGTTCTACAATCCTAAATCTGAGAAACCGTAAGGCTGAGCTAGACAATATACTGACTTTTCATTTAAAGCTTGTAACTCGATTTCTTGCAGAAGTATTAAGTAATATAATTAGTGTAATTTTTGAACTTGGCATTTCCCAAAGCTCAATAGGAAGCCTAAGTCAATTACAGTGCACAAAAAAAGACAACACAACATATGTCCTTCAAGGGCTAGTAAACAGCTTTATAGTCCAATGGAGAAATGAATGCACACTTGTGAGATATGAACACTCTGCCACAAGAACTTTGCAGATAAATGCTGCACTAAAAAAGTTACAGGATATAAAACAACCCGCTCCGCCTGGTTTCAGTTTTTCACTCAACCCTCCCCACCTCCACAGCAGGGCATAGCCCGTCGTCGTGACTACGAAAACGTAACGCGACAAATGCGATTACATCATCAGCATGCATTCAACAATCTAACAAGGCTTCCTCCACGTGTCACTCGCATAACAGTGGTGCGAGGAGAAAGCATTGTGCAAGGGGTGCAAGGCACTAATGAGGTATGCACCTTTCCCCGAGTGGTAAAGTATTGGGACAACACTTGATCTCAAAGGTGTTCGTTCTGGCACTACCACTCAACACGTTAGTCTCAGGGCTCTACCAAAATGGCACAGGGCAACACAGGAAAATGAAAATATGGACTTGTGCAGTCAAAACAGCCACAACTGCCTCCCCACAGGACTAAGGCACTGTTTTGAAGTACAAAAGACCATTCTACAAAGTCACTAGAGAATAATGTTGCGCATGGGCAAAAAGACGTCACTTAGCATACGAAAAGTTTTGTACAGGCACTGGAGAGGTGCATGGGAATTGTTTTTTAAAACGATGTAGCTATGCGGCACAGTAATATTCGCAAAATGTGATCACTGTAGCTTATTACACGAATTAGCAGGCTTGTTTGGGAGGTGCAAAAAAAAGCCAGAGACAGTTTACTCGCCCATTAACTATTGCCCTATCTCAATTTTTCTTCCATCAGCAAAATTATTGAGCAATTTATGAAATATATTACCACATGCCTAATTCGAAACCATATGGCTTGTGTTAAATCCGAGCTCATGTTAATACCAATCATATTGCTCATGTTGCAGGGAGATAAAAGTTGAAAAACGCCCAAAATTACATATTTTTTTTATTTGCTTTCACAAGTTTAGTTTCCCTACTTTCACGAGATAAAAAATTGAACATCGTAATTAAACTATAAGTAGGCTGAAACCACATTTAAAGAGCACAGTGTGACTATAAAAAGCTCATTGTCTAGAGTCCCCTGGCAATTGCCACCTAGCTGCTTGCCATTACAGTTCACCAAAGCAACATGCTCTAAGTAACCACGATTCCCAAGCTCTCATGATGAAAGAAATCATTTTAGAAAACTTATCTTTGCCACATAGATAAGCTTTCAATTAAACCTTTAAAATGCCCTATTCTCAAGACAAAATTTCGGGCAACTTCTTGAGATTTGACATTATGTTTCTGGTACCTCTGAACGCTAGATCGGGGTGAAATTTTGCCCACATATACCTTAACATGTGGAGAGTGCAAGTATCTCTTTTTAAACTTGATATCACCAATATAATTATTACGAATCTAAAGTAAGCAATTAGTTCAGAGCATTCAATACTTCTCACATTAAAATTTTCCTTGTCAATTGAATTGTCTTATAAGCACTTTCTTGTTAGGTATTAGCATTCTATAGTTATCGTGGAGCAATATGAGCCATTAATGGCTCAGAACCATAAACATATAGAGACAGAAAAAGTGTGTCATGAAAGAGGAAACTTTACAGGAAGCCGCCAAAGCTGCAGAAACATTCCCCAGTGACAGCGGACTTCACTGCACCCCAAAGAAATTGGAAATCACCCGAATACAAGGCAATCGATATAAAAGTAATGGTAACATAGAAATTTAAGTGGAAGGGAACAACATTCGGGAGGCATAGCAAAAATCCTTTTATTCTAGATCCAAAGCAATGATTGAGCAAGCCACACCATCACTACACAAAAAACCACAACAAAACCAATTGCACGGATGACCCAAAGGATAAAATTTTATCGGTAAGGCATGAACGAAAAAGAAACATTACGACTACTGCGGGCGCTAGTAATTATGAGGATAACATACAGCCTGCCTTTCTACACACAAACAAAAGTCGACTCTAGAACTCAAAGTGCTTATAAAGTGACTTTGGGACTACCACCAACCACCAAATTAAAGCTCGGCGTGTACAATATGTAAGCCGAGCTAAAGGCAAAAGTTCTCATGTCTCAGAGGAGCTGTCTAAGCAAAACATGGTCTGGCAGGGAGATCCTGACAAGGCTAGCTAACCCACCATAACCCAAACTTAGATGAGAAACTGATGATGTGCCAGAAGATATTTGTCCCATGATTTCGGTGGCGCCTTTACTGAAAAATATTAGAGACAAAGAAACGAACAAGGAGGAGGCTAGAACATAGACAGTGGCTTAAGAAGCAATTAAAGGAAAGACAAAAATCATATACATTGACAGTGCCAGATGTTATTGTGCAAAAGAAATGCGTAGCAACAGCTTTTGACTGGAATGTGAAGATGGCCACAAGTGCCTCTCTAAGCACTTCCTCAACTGCCATAGGCTCGGCTATTAAAGAGCAAAAACATTAAGAATATGACTGATCGCTCTTCCTATCTAGCTTCCAAGAAACGTGTCGCCTTTATATGAACAGACGCTTACCTGCAAAAATAATTAAATTAATAGGACCGAACTTAACCAAGAGAAACCAGCTAATCTGGTGTCTGCACAAGCTGGCATGGAAGGGAAGGAGAGAGCCAACACTTTAGCTCATAATTTGACACACCGAGCGGAGCGTCAGCATCCCGCAACTGAACCCCATTTAATGGCCCCAAAAGACATTCTCACTTACCAGCAAAGCACATGACTAAGATATGCTGTCCACATAAATCACTTGAAGGGAAAGACTATTGATCTCCACAGGGTACAGATGGGAGTCTTTTTAAATTTATGGTGGCTGAGCAAAATATATCCAATGTTATACTGTGATGCTTGTCTGTCGTAAAGCAATTTGCCTATTTTATCTTGTAATGGTGGCCGAAAGCTAGAGAACTTAAAATCATTTCTAGCCAAGAACACTGTAAGCAGTGTAAGCAGAAAGAGACAAAACTTGTCAGGTCGGACCAGAAGTGGAATTAGCACTTATGAGTCGTGTTAGGCGAGCAGTGAAAACCAGTGGGGCCCTAGAGTTGGAGCCCCAATCAATATGCTCCCGAGATCCCCCTTTTGTACCCCTTCCGTCAAACTGCGGCTTTTCTTCTTATTCTTTTTCTCTACACACTTAAATTAGCATCACTGCATGCATTGAAACAAGAACTCAAACTTGATCTTGTATAATCAGTTTGTCAAGGACAATTATTTCTTGAAGGGGTACTGACACAAAATTGTCCACTCATTTTTTTTCGTCAAATGATAAACCAAGCTTCCAAGAGTGTAGGAAATATATCAGTAAGTGTGAGTGCACCCTGAAAAATTGATTCCAGCATGCTTTTAAAAGCTAGTTTCAGTTCCTACTATATGTTGACGTCACGACACGGTATAAGCAGCGCCACAAGGTGGTAGTATGTGCACATGCAAGTTTTCGTGTCGTATCCTCATCCGCTCGTAGCTTCAAATAATTTGTTAGCCCTCTGATAAGCATATATTTTGTATTTAGGTGCACGTAGACTATTCCACACCCCGCTTACTCACTTCACAAGTACACTGGATGATGATGCAGTGACCGCACGGCGCAAGCAGACAATCGAGAAGGCAACTCGCAAACTGCCATATTTTGTGTTTTGGCGCTTGACGTCA